CCCCTTCTAGTCATTTATTTCTACATATGGCCCCCCTCATTTTTTCCCTCCCCCCCCTTCCATAAATAATGACCGGTCCCTTATGTGGCTGAGAGAATTTTGAGATTGAACCCTATCGAGTTTTGTGGATCATGTGAAAAAGTACTATTTGAAGAAAATGAAATTGCAGAGAATGAACTTGATCTTAGAAGTATTTGTTGTGACCAGTGTAATTGCTGGTATCACCTGAAGTGTCAAGGGCTTGATGATGTTGTGCATGGAGAATGGTTGTGTTTACTTTGTTTAACAAACATTTCTGTTAATTGACAGTATACCTGTCACATTTTAAGAACAGTTAATATTTTTAGACTTTTGTAATTTTGTATTCTTTTCTATTTTAACCCATTGAGTGGCAGCACTCTTCCTCTCGCAATTAAAATCATCTGGCTTTAGACAGCAAAATAATAAAGTAGGATACATCTGGGCATTGAGACTTAAAGGTTTAACCTTTACCTTAATCCTAACTCTTACTAATCCTAACCCTAATCTTAATCCTAATCCAAACCATAATCCTAATCCAAACCATAATCCAAACCCTAAAAGTCTAAAAATAGTAACTGTTCCTAAATCATGACTTATATGATTAAAATCACTGTAAAACCACTGTAAAACCACGAGATTATCTATAGTGCGAGCTGCGAGTTGCGAGTTGCGAGTTGCGAGCTGCGAGTTGCGAGTTGCGAGTTGCGAGCTGCGAGTTTCGAGTTTCGAGTTGCGAGTTGCGAGTTGCGAGTTGCGAGCTGCGAGTTGCGAGTTGCGTGTTGCGAGTTGCGAGTTACGAGTATATTGTTAATTTCTAATAACATCGGGTTTAATTTTAACCCAGGGTTAACACTAACCTAGCTTTGAAGCACCGAACCAGGTGTTTACACCTGTGGTTTACACTAAAAATTCAAATTGAAAACTGTATGGCATCCTGGCGGATTTGATTTTAGCTTTGTCTCAATTTGGCGCCAATTTTCAGCTTTTGAAATAAACATTCATTGCATTTATTTTTATACTTACAAACTTGTAAATAGCAATCGTTTTGATATACTGATGGTTTTTTCCCGTGTTTAGATAAAGTTTATGTATGTATATGTATATATGTATGTCTATGTATAAATTGTATAAAATAAATTGTACTTCCGATAAAAAGGACTTTTATAGTTTTATAGGGTTCCCAGCGTTCAGTATATATAAACAAACTGAGTCGGTGTCTGGTCATACTTACTAATAAAATTAAATAACCATTTTAAGATTAGAAAGCACAAAATGGTCTGGATAACTACTAGATTTTATTAAACACAGAAACGGCAAATATAAACTTGCACTTTTATTTTCAATATAATTATTTTAATTCTTGAACATACGTGTCGATGGATCTAACAAAGTAAAAAAACAAGTAAAGGCCGATTTTTATCTCGTCCGTATCGTAGCATTTTCTTTTGTGTCGAAGTCTTAGTTACAGGGACCTTAACTTCGAAGGTCATTATATTTATGAAACAAAAAACCCTTCGACTTTGCCTTCCATGTCGTCCATATTAATATACTTTCAAAGCCTAATTCAAAGCGAGGCTAGCGACTCGCAACTCGCAGCTCGCAACTCGCAACTCGCAACTCGCAACTCGCAAAATAGCCGACCCCTAAAACCACTGTAATATTTCTGCATTCCCTTGAATAAAGTCTTGGGAAATTTATGTGCAATTCATGTGTCAATGTCAATTTTCTCAGCTTGCATTAATGGAGGAAATAAGTTCACTAATGCACAACATATTATACGAATGTCATCAACCAATGGCAGTTCCAACATAGTAAGTTCCGTAGATAAAATTCTAAACCATTTAACTCTTGCAATAGCTTTTTCAACAAAGATTCTTACATTGGCAACTTTACTTGTAACAGCGACATCATCTGATATCATTTGATTGCCTTTAGCTGCACTTGGAGGGATTGCTAAATAGCATCTCTTCATTGTGAGGTCTGACTTTATCTTAAACCCCCTGTCTGCCATAACAGTGTCATAAGGTTCAAGTAAGTCTAAAAATCCAGAGTTTCTAACAATAAAAACATCACTTGTCCTTCCACCATAACATGGAGATATCCATGAAACTGCTCCATTTGGTGTGATGACTATTAAAAACTTGAAAGTGTAATGGTGCTTGTAATCACTCCAAAGATATGCACCAACCTCCAGAGATAACGGCGTCTCCAAAAAAACTTCTGAGCAATCAATGATGACTCTGACTTTTGGATAAAAGCATATATTTGACCTTTAGATGGCCATATAATGAGGTGCCGTAGTTCTTTCGATAAAAGCTTGACCCAAGTTATCCAGATTTGAGAAACTCTGGTGGTTGAAATTTGAAATCTAAAAGCCAAGTCCTTAATGAGCAATCCCAGACGCAATCTCATGACAGTTAATAAAAATTCTTGTTCTAAAGTAGTCTTTCGCTGAGGTCCTGGTTTGTTAATGGGCAATACAGATCCTTCCGCATACACATTTGATAATATTATGGTATCAATTCTTTGCTGATTAGGTTCTTCTCTCTCTACACCGGAACTTCTTTTTACACCTTCCCAATATTTCATCAGTCGTGCTCTTGGCACTAAAAAGTTGAATATTTCTTGGAAACTTTTTGTGCTCTCAAACCCAGTAAAAAATCTAACATCACTTTCTCTAGTAATTTGAGCAAACTGCATTGCAATGGCAATGTTGACATTATCAATAGCAGGAATAGGGTTTTCTGAACATTCCTCCTGTTCATCAATTGTTGAACATGAAGGCTGAGGGCTGCATGAGGAAACTTTTCTTTTTTTTGAAGGACTCTCTCGTAAATTTAATTTTTTTGGGTGTCGGTAGTCATCTAATGTCAAATAAAGTATGGGATTTGGATTTTTATTGGTGGGTTTGCCATCTGAAAAATGGTTTGAACATATGCGGCTGTTATCAGTTGGAACAAACTCACATCTCCCTTTGGCCACAAGTGAAGCCCACTTCCTTTTTCTATCTTCGTCTTTCGTAGGAAAGCGGTGCCATTTTAACTCTTCAACATGTTCCATCACAACTAATCTTTTAGGGCATCGTTTATCATTGTCACAGGCAGTAGCGTAGCCAGCCCGACGATTTAGTCCCGCTATGCAAATATTTTCGTGTTCATTAACTGTGAAAACAATCAATTTCTAAAGAAATGAATAATGATAATAATTCTGAATTTGCATAGCGGGACTAAATTGTCAGGCTGGCTACGCCACTGGTCACAGGGTCCAACGCAACATCGATCAGCGCGAACCATGTTTTTTAGCAATAAAAAAATTAATAATTCATTATATTTTTATCATTCGCCATCTTGGGTTCAAAGTCCAACTTGCTACCCACGCAAAATGGCGGCGATAACCCGGAAATCGTTTATTAAAGAACACTAATGACTTTAAAACGCTTTGCGAAGCGTTTGTGGTTGAATTTTACCTTAAATCGAGGCTTATATTACGTATAATAACATACCTAACATATATATGTTGGGAAATTAATAATTTTGTGATTAAAAGTGATATTTATAGGCGATTTTTCATTTGTGAGAATATTCTTAAAAAATTATCGTGTTACCATGACAACTTAGATACTTCATGTTCGGAAAATACAATGGTTTTGTCAGCAAGGCGAGGGTTTCTGCATGCATGTATTTTCTAGTAGTTTTATAAAGAACACTTTAAAACGTTTTGCGAAGCGTTTGTGGTTGAATTTTACCTTAAATTCAAGTTTATATTACGTATAATAACATACCTAACATATACACTCTAAAAACACTCTGGTTAAATTCAACCAGGAATTGGGTTAATAATCCACCCAACACATTCTGGTTAAATTTAACCCATTTCCTGGTTAAAAATTATCAATTCAACAAAAATTTGGTACACTTTTTTTTACTTTTAACCAGGAAAATGGTTATTTTTTTTAATTAACCAGACTTGTGTAGGTGGATTTTTAACCCCGTACTGGTTGAATTAACCCAAATTTAACCAGAGTGTTTTTAGAGTGTATATGTTGGGAAATTGACAATTTTGTAATTAAAAGTGATATTTTTAGGCGATTTTTCATTTGTAAGAATATTCATAAAAAATTATCGTGTTACCATGACAACAACTTTAGATACTTCATGTTTGGAAAATACAATGGTTTTGTCAGCAAGGCGAGGGTTTCGGCATGCATGTATTTTCTAGTAATTAGTGGGCGGTTATCAAATTTCCTTGAGATTGTTGCAGGCTCTCATTTATTCATTGAGCCTGCCACGCAGGCTAGCCTTTTACTGGCTGCGAGCTTGAGAGATCCCACGCGTACGCACTGAAAATTGGTTACGCTTTGTACACGCGAGTTGCCCTTCTATTCATTTCTTATTCTATGCACTTCAATTTGGTTAAAGCAGAAGGAGATAAATTCAGAATTTCGGCCGGAAATGTTCTTATTTTAAAGCGAGACCTTTGCAACCATGCCAACTTTTTGTACAATTCCTGGTTGCCAAAAATCTACTGAAAGAAAGGACCTGTCCTGACATGGGTAAGGCTCGTATAATCTCGTTTTTTGTAATAATTTAACGCTTGCTGTATTGCTATATTGAAAGCGTAAATTTGTGAATTCATGAAATTTTAATATTGGCAAGCAACGTACAATACAATTTATGTTAGTGAATCCTTGAATTTGACATTTTGTAACTTGGCTATTTATTGGTGTGCTACAGTGCAAAAGCAGAACAATATTTTAAAGTGCTGACCGGCTTGTGGAGCAGTTATCGAGCAAGTATTTATTTTCATGCAAGTTGATGGATGTGATGATGGCGTGTCACGTATAGCGCTAACCTTATCACTATACCTTATTGCAGACAGTCAGTGGCGTAGCCAGACCGCCAATTTTGTGCCGCTATGCAAATTCAAAATTATTATCATTATCCATTTCTTTAGAAATTGATTGTTTTCACAGTCAATGAACATGAAAATATTTGCATAGCGGGACCAAATAGTCGGGCTGGCTACGCTACTGCAGACAGTACTGCAGTACAAAAATGTCAGGCAGCAAGCTGTGCAAGGCAGCTGGTCTAAAATCCTATCGATATCCTAACAGATAATTTGTTTTATAATGCTATTTTAAAAAATTTCAAATGAGAATTTTAACAATATGATAATGATACGACTAGCTTTAAATGTACAAAGCCTTTCACTCATTGTATTGTCTTTATTGTGGACTAAACCATGTGTTGTTTAGTGTGGCATTGTTTATATTGTAAATTATATGTATCGTATTGAACAGTGTAACTAGACACTAAAAACAATTGTTCATTTACTTGAAAGCTTTCCAGATGAGAAGAGATTCCCTGAATTGCACAGCATATGGGTGAAGAATATAAGCAAACTTATGCCAGTGAAGTTTGTTCCTATGAAAAATAGTCGTTTGTGTTCGAAGCATTTTAGTGCTGATATGTTCGAGAAGGGTTACAGCCAGAGACCAGTGTTAAAGCCATATGCTGTACCAACAATCTTTAATGATTCCTTTGGTCAAGTTGGTTGTGATATTTACAGTTTGTTATGAGTGTATCAGTACAATTAATTGTCATACTGTACATGAGGGGTAATTAATACTGAATTTTAACATTATTCAATAATTAATGCCTGACATACTGCAACTGCCAAAGTTATAGGGATGTAAAGATGTTGTCATGCAACCTCTTTTGCATGGGCCTTTTGATATTGGATAATTGGACAAACCTTAATTTTCATTCAATCTATGAATCTAACATACTGTATATACAATATATATTAGATTATCTACAATATATATAATTATTATATATCTACAATATATATTGTGGTCTTACCTCTGACACCAGCTCAGTGTATGAGGCGAAGAGCAAACTATTGTAGGCACACAATAGAAAATTATTGATACAAAAAAGTCCTTTCTCATGTTTGCCCAGTGAACAAGAGCATAAAAATATTTTTTTACAATAAGTGAGACAGTGTTTATGAATTAATCATATGAAAGCTTTTCATACTTAAACAAACACAACCTGGCAATTTTTTCAGAACACATGTCTAAACATTATTTGGACATTCTTGACATCCCCTACTGTTGCTGCGACATGTTATCAGCAAAGGCTGCCAGAATATTTTTCCTATTGTTAACAAATCTCTTTCTTCCTCTAAAAAGAAAGTTGCTGCTCACATCAATTGATAAGTAGCTAATTGATGGATTACATCATTAGCTAGTAACCCTAACCCTAATAGTCGAACATCCTATGTGCCGTAATTTTGTAAATAATTTTCATATTTTTCAAAATATTTCTTTTGCACTTGTCAGCTATGGGTGAATAGGCTCATTAAAATAATTTTTGTCTATCTTACAGGTACCGGTACAAATGGAGTTGTTGCCTTCGGATATGTCGAAGGTTGTTCGTGATGATGAAAAGTTGTCTGAAAAGCAAGAGTGTATAAAAGTCACTGAAGACAGGTCTATGATTAATGCAGAGCTGGGTAGTGGTATTGTAAGTACCAGTACTGGAGAAAAGAGGAAACACTGTGAAGAGAGTGATTATATTAATGAGGTGCCCATCCCTCAAAAACGAGCGTGTATGGGTATTAAACATGACCATACAAATTCTGTAAGTACCCATTGTAGATTGAAACAGAAGGCCGATAATCTGTTAGACAGAGAAAAAAATCTGAAGAGGAGATTGAAAACATCTCGTATGAAAAGCCACAGGATGAAAAGAAAGGTGATTTCTTTGACTTCAGTGGTAAGTGAGCTGAAGAAAGAGAAACAGCTGGTGAGTAGTAATTGGCCAGTATCCTGGAGACAACTTTGTCAGGGGTTCCTAAGGAACTTATGAAAAGGTTGGTGACACAGAAGAAAAAGAAAAATCCAGGTGCGTATCCAGAGGAATTACGAACATTCGCTCAACAAGCTATATTTGTTAAAGTTTACTTACTGGAGATTATTATAATACTCGTGTTTTAAAGAATCTTGATAGTCAGTTGCGCAACACAAATTCACAATACAACAAGAATTGATAAATCGTTTCAATTACTTACATGCTTTGTCCTTGTGGTCGTCAAGCTCTATTCATGTCTTTTTTTATTAATGGCATTCGGTCTCTATTCATTTATACGCGCAGTTGGAATAATATTATTTTCAGGACGAAAATCAAAATACTCTCCGTCGATCAACTAATATAAACAGTCAGTACATAAATCACTGTAAAATCAGGGGGGGGGGGTGAACTTTGTCGCCCACGGACATTCGAGCCACGGGTCAGTGGAAATCCCCATGAAAATAGGTCGATTGTGACGTAAAATCCGCCATGTTTTTGGCAACACATTTTCGTCGAGGGCACGATCTCCAGATATATAGTATAGCTCAGTGATTCAGACCGTATCGTTTTGCTGCCAAGTGAATGACATGACGTCATTATTATATCATATATATTTGTATTTATATCATTAGGAATTGGTCATTAATAATGGGAGGGGGGTGGACAGTGAGTAATAAATACCAAATATTGAACTTTTTAGAGCCGCCCCCGATCGCAAGACCTTTATTTTCAAGACGCCCCCACCTTCATCTAGAATATTCAGGACTCCCGGCCCTCCACTTGAACATTTAATGGTGTGAGACATTGTGTAGCCTAAATAGTTAGAGGACCAGTATTCAAAATGGTTGTTATTTACTACGACTCCTATGGTGAACTGCATATACGTAATAAACTATGGAAACTACGAATTATAGGAACTAAAAAAGGTGAAATACTTTGTGGGATACGATAAAAACGAGAGATTGAGAATGAGTAGGACAGTATTAAAAAATTGGGGTTGCCCCTTGTCACATATTTTTCAGTTTGAGGCCGCCCACAATTCAGGCAAAAATAGTTGAAGCCGTCCCTTTTTAACCACATCTTATTACACTATAAATAATCCAGCTGTTAATAATTTTTTACCCAAAAACAACACATAATTACAAATGATCTTAGTTCATTCATGGTTTGCAATCAATCCCTGGAGATTTACAAGACAAAAAC